ATATAAAAAGTCCACTAATGCGGCATTGGAATCAGGCTATTACTCTATTATGTAAGTGGCGAGCATTGCAAAAGAAACGAAAAAGACCGCGGGCATTTAGCATGTTCCTTTTTGTTCTTTTCATTTGTTTTTTAAGAGTAACGTTTGTTCGGTTACTGCTTGCAGTCACTGAGGCTGAGAAAAATATAGCATTGGAAATTTTAAAAAAGTTCAGAACGAAAACACGCTTTGAAAGTTAAATATCAAATGTAGGTATTTTTTTTTTTTAAATATGTTATTATCTGAAATATTTTAACAAAATTGTTTACGAAAATAAAAAACTGTCGCCTAACACTTATAGCCTGATTCCAGTGCCGCATTAGTGGCATAGAGTAAGAAGTTCTAACCTATGATTGTGGTACTGCGTGTGTTTTTTTCAGTTATTTTTATACAAAATAGATTTTATATTCAAAAGAAATCAAATATTGCGCCATCCTTGCATAAAACCGAGCTGCTATGGTGTTGGCACTAACGAAATATCGTTAAAAATCAGTATTTTAGGGTATTTTTTTAAAAATGTTCGGGCGAATGATTTTTAATCGCATTTATTTATCGCATTTATTTTAAATGCGGCATATAGCCTTATGGGATTCCCTGTGTAAATAAATGCGCATTAGGCTAAAAACGTTTTCATGCGCCAATGGAATCAGGCAATTACTTAAAAATTGTTTTTATTTTTTTTTGTTCTATGAATAAAAAGAGCACATATATCTGCCGCTGGTGTAGTTAGAGAAAATATAAAAAGTTAGTTTCCTTTCTGTTTTTGAAACTACTTTCTGGGATTCTAAAATTCATCACTGGCCCAAATTAATTAGTATTTCTTCAGTATGACGACTGCGACGTCGACAGAGACGACTGCTATGCCGGCAGAACCGAAAGCTACGCCGTCAGAACCGACATCTCAGCCGACAATCGTAGCAAATGCAGAAAAAATCCACCCCACTCTCTCAATCTCTCTTTTTAAATGAGAGAGCGAAATTTGCTGATGATTTTAGGTGCTTTTTTATACCCTAGTAGAGGGTATTATAATTTCAGTCAGAAGTTTGCAACGCAGTGAAGGAGACATTTCCGACCCTATAAAGTATATATATTCTTGATCAGCATTACTAGCAGAGTCGATCTAGTCATGTCCGTCTGTCCGTCCGTCTATCCGTCCGTCTGTCAGTCTGTCCGTCTGTCCGTCCGTTTCTACGCAAACTAGTCTCTCAGTTTTAAAGCTATCTGCATGAAACTTTCCCAAAAGTTGTCTTTCTATTGCAGGTGGTATATAAGTCGGAACGAGCTGGATCAGACGACTATATCATATAGCTCCCATAGGAACATTTTAGATTTAGTTAATAGCTGCAAGGGTTTATGAACTTCGGCTTCCCAAAGTTTGCTTCCTTTCTTGTTGCTGCTGATTTACTGATGATTTGGTGATCATTTGACTAAGGGGCTGTCCTTATATTAAGTAATCCCGTTTTCGATGGTTTTGACCCCCTCCCCCCTGATCATCAAAAGTAATCATTCAATTAAATTTTTTAATATTATGTCCATCAAAATGCAAAGCACGTTGTTGGAGTCACGGTATATAACAAACAATATATAACAACAATTAATGCACATGCATAGCGAATTAAATCGAAAATATTAAATATATCGTACATACCTTTTAAGCATCCATGACATCGTTTTGATTTTTTTTTGTATCACCTGCTTTTCATTAATTTTTATTAATTCTTTTATATGTTTTTGAAACTATTTTTTTTTTTGCTGTGTTCCATATTGTTGTTGCTTTTTTTTGGCAATCTGACGGACTTTGGTCAGGACAGCGAAGCTTGTAGGATTTAAAAAACGCTTGAAATAGAGCACTTAGTCCTGATTCCAGTGTAAAACACACGAGCATATAAATCCCAGTGGAAATTGCTCAACATATTTTGGTGATTTACAAACTTTCATAACGAACAGCTGATTTTCGATATACAAATGGTAGAATTTGTAAATCGACATAAATATAGGGATGCATTCCGAACATATTCGCCGCAAAATATATTATTGAATGCTTTTAACATGCACATGATTACGTAATCATTGACCCCCTCCCCCTAGGTGATTACGTAATACATGGACAGCCCCTTAATAGAAAATTTCTATGATATGCCCATATTAAAATCATCACTATTTTGATTATGTTTTGTGATGAACCATAAGTAAAAAGCTACAGGGTACTTACACAATTTAAGTGCGAGCATTTATATTTCATCAGAATTAAATTTCATCAGAATCGGACATAGTCGTCATCATCATATAGCTCCCATAGAAATAATAAAAATATATATAAAATAACTATCAAATAATTGAGCTGCAAATCATCATAGGTTCAATGTTTAAAAACATATACGCAAGTAAATCATTATTTTAATATTTTCAAAAATGTTTAATTCTTGCAATAGCTGCAAGGGTATATGAACTTCGGCTTGCCGAAATTTGCTTTCTTTCTTGTTTTTAATAGTTTTTAAACTATTTTTATTAGCTATAGTCGTCATGCAACAGGAGGACAACTTTTGAAAAAGATTCAGGTATATATGAAACTTTAAAAGAGATTAGTTTGCGTAGAAACGGACGTACAGTCGGACGGACAGAGGGACAAACGAACATACGGACAGACGGACATGGCTAGACCTAAAACAGGAACACAAATTTTGAAAGAGTTACATGCGTATAGCTTTAAACCAGTTTTTTTTTTTTTTTTCTTTTTGTTCAAATTTTTAAAAATTATAAGAGTCGTTTTTTGTTTAACTTTTTACTTTAATAGCCCTTAATATTCCCCAACCTCTGGTATGTAACAAATTTGTCTACATGAATGTTTTCAAAAGTTATTAAGCAACGAAAACGGCAACTTTTCTCAGTTTGGAGAAGTTAACGCTGCTTAGGCAAACATTTCCTCCCAAAAGTATCCACCACCAATTTTTTCTGGATGTTGGGGTACTTTAACTATATTTCATACAAAAACTTCTGGTATCTAAGAAAAACAAATCTTAACGAGGTAAAAAAGTCGTGACGATCGCAATTTCAACATATAAAATATCTGATATCAAATTTTAATATCAAATAAGCATTCGACTTAATAAATACACTTCTTAAATGTTCCCACTCGGTGAAAAAAATGTCTGTGTTGGCAAAATACCTGGATGAAGCGGTCCAAATGGAAACATTATTCCTTATTTTGTTATTGTGAACTCAAAAAGGCAAAAATGTTCGTTAAAACCGGATTTAAAAATGATGTAGCCCACTTGGGAGCTATTAAGTTTATTTAAATTTAATTGTATTCGCTTGTCATAAGCTAGACATTTTATTTTTATTCCAAATAATAAGTTAATAATTAAGCAAAAAAAACACATCAGACAATTTGTCTATCAAGTAAAACAAATTTGGTTCCTTACCAAATAAAGCTATAAATATGTTACTGAAAAGGACTTATGAGTTTACCGACGTTAACTGTTAAAATGCTTTAAATTTGACTTGTGTTCATATCATTAGATGCGCCGAGGGGCGTTTTATCGAGTTTCTATTTTTTCCTCACTCCGAAAAATCTACTAAACTCACATTCAGTGCACATGACATAAGTTCGCCTACGCTATATGATATTGGCCCCGTCCCCACACTCGACCCGGGGGATGTCACATTTGACATCAGCAGTATAAATCAAGGGGAATGTGGGGACTACGCAGGGCGAGTCGCGGGTTCATTGTGATTGATAATACCCAGCAGCAGCAGCAAAAGTCATCGGAATGAAACGAAATGAAACATTACGGCGGAATGGATTCTGCATGACATGACAAGCCACCCCAGTCCCCCTAGCTCTCCAAAGCAAACCGCTACTGTCTGTTTGTGCAACTTGCAGCAGAGCGCGGCGGTCGCGCCGCTGGAATCTGGCGATCAATCCAGCACCCATACAGATAGAGCGACCCTAATCCAGGCGGACGCGCAGCCAGATTCAGACACTTGCTCACAAGGGCTGCAACTGCGACACCCAACCCGACGGTTGGTATTTTGAAATATGGAGCGGTCATAAATGTCACAAGAATCATTTGAGAGGAAATACGAGTGACGAGCGTGACTTGCATGGATTTATGGTGCTCGAGTCAAGGGTATCTGACTTGAATTAGGAACTTATGCGGTGCCACAGAACAGGTGTTTCTCTAGACCTCGTAGCTCTGAAAGAACGCAAACAAATTGGTGTCTCCCAACTGCAGAAGATTACCGTACACCTACAAAGGGGTGCTGAAATATCGGGTAATTATAACCCGTTTCTGTTGCATTTCGTACTGATCACTCTTGAAGCTCGCGTGTATGCTGCGACGCGTAAAATCGCATTTATGCAGCTTCCTCCAGCAGCGTTTTTAAAATGGGTGAGAGGAGAAGTAGGCTGGGAAATCCACCCAGGCGCAGACTATCAACGCTGACGGAGCTCCAAGTCCCAGCCCCCGACCCCAAGCAAGGCAGCTCGTGAACGGTGGAGGGGTGGAGGCGTAAGCAGGTGAGCGGGCGTTCTTGAGAATGCGGTGGAAGGCAAACAGCAGAACACACGCAGAGCCGCTCACCCAGCGGATAGGCGGATGAGCAGATGGGTAGACTGCTGGCGTCTTCGTTGCGGTCTGCTTCCACTTGCATTCGAATTTGCTATCGCGTTTGCACCCTCTCAGCCGGGGCACATTGGTCCGAAACAATGACGGGTTTTAGATCTTAGGGCAGCCGCGTTCATTAAAACATTACTCGCGTGTTTGGAAATCATTTTCTAGTCTATGTCTTGGAATGCAGTCGCGGTTTTATCTGATTCATCAGACTCATGCCCCAACCCCCTTTTCGGACTCGCTTCCCAGAAGCTCCCAGCCGGAGATTCAGCCACTGCTCCGTATAGTACAGTAATTTCCTCCAAAGGTTGGAACTTACGTCGGTTTTGTTTTGGCTTGGCGACTTACCTATAATAATCGTTTTTGCAATAAATGTTGCCGTCACGTGAGTAGCATGAGGATTCCCGTTCCAGCGGCTGCCGACAAGCGTAACACTGTAAACAACTGGCATGCCATCGTTTTTCCACAGCGGAGAGGTAGAAGCGATCCTAAGAAAAGACCAAAAATATTCTGTAAAGGACATATTCAAAACTATATTTTGAACTTTTTGAAATTAAACAATTTCGTAAGATTATTTAGCTTGTTACCATTACAAAATTTTAATAATTGTAAAATTATTTTGTGTCATTACGATTTAAAAACTGTATGTCAACAGTTGTACCATAACATATAAAAATATGACAAGAAAAATAAAACACACTTTTAATTAATTTAACAAAGCCGTAAATTAATAGAGTCTGAACAAAATCAATGTAAAGCAATATAAATACAATATTTGGCTATTGTCTTTTGTATACGGGATTTTGATTATTGTGAAATTTGTTTAACTTTGTTAATTTATTGAACTTTGTATAGAAGTAATAGTAAATATTATGACAAAAAGTAATTGTTATAAATTCCAAAACTTATATTGCCTGGTCTTTCCATCTAGCGAAATCTCAAGGAAAACAAGAAAGGTAGAAAAACCGGTTATTGCTAAAACTAAATATTCTTTAAAACGACTATATTTCGGTAAAATCGTTGTAATTATTTTATAGTTGTCCTGAAGACAGTTGCCGAAGAGCAACCGAAATATATTGACAAATAACCAAAATTGAAATAATTTTGTGATTTTTTCAACATCCTGACCTCGAGCCGGCTAACAATTAATAAACAATATTTCTGGAAAAATAAACTATTTTGCAAAAATAAAATAAATACAAAAAACAGCTGCTATGACTGATACCCCTCCTTTAGCCTAGTTTTAAACTTAAGCTTACAATGTGCAAATAAATACAAATACAGAACAATTAACTTATAATTTTATTTCATATATTCTTTAGATTGTTCTAATGGGAGTTATATGATATAGTCGTCCGGTTCGGATAGTATCGACCTGCAATATATAGACAATTTTTGGGAAAGTCTTATTTAGATATCTGTAAAAATGAGAGATCATTTTGTGCAGGCGGACGTACAGACGGGCATGGCTAGAGCGGCTACTTATAGGGTCGCAATGTCCCGCCACTGCGTTGCAAATTTATACTCAAATTTTGACCTGATAGGCAAGATTTTTAGCATGATCAGTGTGCACATAAAAAATACGATTTTAAGAGTTTCAAAAATCTATATTCTTTAGAGAAAAGTACTCAGATCAAAGTAGTCAGTTTTCCAGCTATGAGAGAGAGCGAGATGCAAATAAGTCTCGGACACTTGTCGTCACAGTCTTTTTCAGCCCGGTACTCAAATCCAAAATAGCGTTGCCAGAAATTAACTCTGGGTGAACGTTCGTCAGGCCTCAGCGAAAATAATGTAAGAAATGAATCTTTTAAAATTGGAGTTCGCACAGCAGATTATTTCTCGGATTCAAAAAATGGACGGAAACAATCAAAGAGTCCATAAAAATTGCATGCAATAAAAAAGTGTTGACGACAAATTATTCCCGATCCATTTTTATGGCACTTTTGCTTAGGGGCTTATGACAATACATTGTTTGCCTCATTCCTTGACTGATTCATTGAAGCTCAGAAAAAGATTGATATTTTTGTTGGTATTCAGTTTACGGTCTCACTTGCTTTTAACCGTAAGATGTAAACTTTTTTGTTGAAATGTCTTTATATCCTGAATTCTAAGGTTGAAAGTTCGGAGTTTTTACCTTAACAGCTAAAAATATTTCTTATATGTACATTGTTAGATTTTCTGGCTTCGAACTCAACATTGTTTTTATTTTTAATATGCTTTTAAAACTAATTTGGGGTTGCACCGCTTTTTATTTTGTAGCTACTACGAACAGTTTTTTATTAATTTTCAAAAGAAAAATTAGTCAGTTGTTCCGCTGCCTAGGCAAAAAAATATTTATTTTTTTGTTTTTCTTGGTTATCTACCCTATTTTTGTTGCAAAAAGATGTTAAAAAGTTTTTAAAAAACATTAAATTATCATCGTTTCTTTTTGTCGGCAACTCCAATGAATGAGCCAGATTTTAATTTTTATACCCTGAACCTTTCCCAATAGTTGTCGGAACGAGCCGAAAAACAGCGACTGTTGTTGCTTTCTGATTTTTGTCGTTTTTGTTTTTGCTTGCAGTTTTTATACCCTTGCAGAGGGTATTATAATTTCAGTCAGAAGTTTGCAACGCAGTGAAGGAGACGTTTCCGACCCTATAAAGTATATATATTCTTGATCAGCATCACTAGTAGAGTCGATCTAGCCAAGTCCGTCTGTCCGTCCGTTTATATGCAAACTAGTCTCTCAGTTTTAAAGCTATCTGCGTGACACTTTCCCAAAAGTTGTCTTTCTATTGCAGGTAGTATATATGTCGGAACGAGCCGGATCGGACGACTATAGCATATAGCTCCCATAGGAACAATCGGAAAAATAAATGAAAAAAAAATTATAACTTTGCTATTTTTTAATATTTTATTTAGTTCTGCGACATTTAGTAATGGTTAAATATTTCCGATTTACGGTTTACATTTCATCAAAATCGGACGACTATAGCATATAGCTCCCATAGGAACAATCGGAAAAATAAATGAACTTAACTTAACTTAAGTTAATTTTTTAATTTTTTGTTTAGTTCCTCGACATTTAGTAATGGTTACATATTTCCGATTTACGTTTTAAATATCATCAAAGTCGGACGACTATATCATATAGCTCCTTTAGGAATAATCGGAAAAATAAATGAAAAAAAATTATAACTTTTCTGTTTTTTAATTTTTTGTTTAGTTCTTCGACATATAGCAATGGTTAAATATTTCAGAATTATGGTTTAAATTTTATCAAAATCGGACGTCTATATCATATAGCTCCCATAGAAATAATAAAAATATATAAAATAACTATCAAATAATTGAGCTGCAAATCATCATAGCTTCAATGTTTTTAAACATATACGAAAGTAAATCATAATTTTAATGTTTTCAAAAATGTTTAACTTTTGCAATAGCTGCAAGGGTATATGAACTTCGGCTTGCCGAAGTTTGCTTTCTTTCTTGTTTGTTTTTTTATTGGTTTAATATATCAAAACTACGGTTTTTATTTCAATAAAGTCTATAGCACATAGCTCCCATGGAAACAACCGAAATATATAAAAAAAAGTTAAGATTAGCTATTTTTTTTAGAATTACGCTTTTAATTTTTTAATCTGGGAAAACGATAAAATATAGCTGACATAGGAATGATCGAATAATTGACCTAAAAATCGGCTTCAATGTTTTTAACCATACACGAAGTTTGAAAGATGTTTGTTTGCCAAAGGTTTGCCCTATGTATATATTCGAACGATATTTTTGTACCGAAGCCCGACTAGTATTTTTTACAAACAGGCAGCCATTATGTAAATTTTCTTCTTTCATTGCTGATTGGAATTGTCATATGTCCGTCTTGCTCGCACTTACGTAAAATCGCATAGTGTAAAAAGAAATTGTTGCAATGAATGAGTTCCAGGATATATATTTAAGTGCAAACATTTATAAAGATTCTAATTTCTAATTTTAATACATATACATAAAAAATATTAATAAAGCTTAGATTATAAAAAGTTTCCCGCTGACAAAACTGTTTTTCGATCTAAGTACTAGGCTAAGTAGTCAGAGAACCGCATGGTCAATATCACATATACCTGTGACCGGCCGCTTTTGGACCGGTGTTAATCAAGCTTAAGGGAAAGGTTCAAAATACTATAAAAACATCACTTAATCCAAAACTCAGCGGTGTTTACTTAAATTGTAATTCTTATTTTTCAAAATTTAACATTTTTTTTATATCTCTTAATTTTTGTTCAAATTTATGATTTAATTTTTGTTTACCTAGTTAAAAAGAAAAAAATCATGTATTGAGCCAAAGATTTTAGTTTCGTTTGCATAGTAATAAGATAAGTCAAACACACAGCACCTTCAAGTCCAAAAGTTTCTAGTATCAATTTTTGTGACAATTATTATTTATTTTACCAAAAAAATTTATTTTATTTTTAATAATATAGTTTCTAATTCGGCACGCTGATTTGGAATTGTTTGGTAACAAGGCTGATTCTATTGAAACTTTGTGACGATTACAAAATTTGGAGATGGCAAAGTAAGTAGCCCTTAAAAATTCATTTTTCACGATGTACAGCAAGTATCCGTTTAAGATCAAACCATTCATAGATGGTTGTTAATGATTCGCATGTACTGAAAGTATGCACACTGACTGCTATAAAATTTTTTTAGATTGGTCTTTTCTTTCCGATTATCAATATCGCGGCTATATAAAATAGTCTCCTTGCGCACACTCATCGTCACTACAGTGATATATAAAAAAAATTGTGAAATTAATCGCAATCAGCTTAAAAAAGTTGGAAAATTAATTACAAGCCGAATCAAAAAATGTAGTTCTATACCGAGTTGTTACAGTATTCTTCTTAAATTAACCAAGGAGAACTCATATTTTTAATACTACATTTAAATTTGGTGAGCAACACGTCTATCCGCTCACAATTCTTCAAGGAACTAATGCGAAAAGATCACACTTTACCTGTATTTGCCGCCCGCAGCCGGAGCAGTCGTCGAGGTTGCGCGTTATTTTGCTATCGTTGGTAGACTCAGGACTGCTGGGTGGTCCGTAAGGTTCAGTTTTGAATGATATGCCGGACGTTGTCTCGTCGCTGACCTCTGTGCAATCTGTGCGGCTGCGGCTGATTGAAAATTTTGCCGTGGAGTCCTCAAAGGTTGCGCGATCGGCTGTTTCAAAGCTGGAGGATTAAATATGCTTTGATTTTTCGGACTCAAGAAAAAAGGATGTCCTTACCTTCTAAATGACTCGATGCCGTATGCATTGCCAAATGGCTTTGTACTGTGATCACAAATATCTTGACACGAGGATGAGGAGCATGTGCGAAACAATGAGTGATTGTTAATTGCACCTGTAGCACTGCCACATTGTATGCTTCCTTGATGTGCTACAGGTGGTGTTGAACTTTTCTCCCTTGCACCGGGCCCAAGAAATCTTGCGCTCTGCTGCTACATGTTTCGATAAAATAAAAAAAGTATGCAGATTAAGGGATTAATAAAGAGTGGTAGAATTCATTGCATTGGCATGGCTTAGCTGTGAGATACTCACAGTTACTCTAAAATACTTAGTAATTTTTAAAATGGTGAGCTTAACTATAAATGATGCATTTTATTTTCGATGACAATGGCGGCGAAAACAAAGTCGAAGCCAAAGTTTATTGCAATTAAGAGACACAAGCGTTTTCGTTATTCCGAGAAAGCGCTGCGCGACATTTAAGAATCGCCAACATATGAGGGGCAGTCCCGGGCAAATCCATCCCAGCTAATCTCAAATCATCCTACCCCAACCCATCCTTGCGAGCTTTACGCTTTTCCAAGCCATTAAGTGAGCACAGAGGCATTTTTTTTTCAAGCAGAAGATTCAACTTGCTAAATCCAACGTCCTGCCCCACCTCACCTCTTTTCTCCCAACCTATCTTGTCCCACGAAACATCGATGCTCCAGTTTACTTATTTTTGATTAATGAGAGCAAAATAGATTGCAAAGGCGTGCCGTTTCATCCGAAAGCTGCCCCGTATGAGCTACACGGATGACAGGTTTTCCTTGTAAAACATACAAGTTTCCCTTATTCTCTAGACAATTTTTGCGAAACTTACAAAAAATGTGTTAATTGCGGCCTAGGAACACGTTGTTACCTTTAGGGGAACATTTAGCTATATTTGTACATTTAGATTTGAAGTTTCGCCATGCTTATTAGTAGTTTTAACCAAGTCATTGCATCAAAAAACGAAACGATCGCCAATCAATACACATCTGATAGGATTGTAATTTAAGTGATTCAATTTTTTGGAAAATCGATATAATTATAAAGCCTTTCAAAAGGAAGAATTGAAACAAGTTAGGAGAGCTTTTTCGGAAGACTTAAGGTGTTGCTACGACATTTCATGAAATAACATTTTCTTACTAAATATTTTGTATCCATGCAAAGCTGTAAAAAAAATACATTTTTAAGGGCCGACGAAAGTCGAAAATAATTCGTGGAGAATTTAAAAGCTATATTTGTAAAATTAGTACTTAAGTATTCTTGAAATATTTGCTAAAAATGGAAAAACTATAATCCCAATAATCTTGTTCTTATTACACAGGTACACAGCCAAAAAAATTACATGAAACAGTTGAACTTTTCCATAATAATTGGGTGCTTCTGAGTAAAAGTGTAAACACCGCTTTTCATGCCAATTTATTTATTATTTATCTGCAGTTCTGCTTAACCGATTTCGGTCGATAGTATATTTTACTAGAAATAGATCATTCTTCAAGTTTCCCATACATGTTATAGGGATAGGTTTTTTAATATAGATGCTAGAGCCCAAAAGAGGCAAGTAAATTGATAAAACTGAAGTTCGGAATACATAAATCAATTCTTAAATTATGAACTCCTATAAACCGAAAATAATTTTATCACTTTACCCTTAAGATAGTCCAAAATCACCGTTTTTGCCAACCAAGTTTGCTTGGATCCCATGATCCGTTCAAAAGTTTTTCAAAAATTACATTTTTTGTTATATTTAAAAAATACAAAAGTTTTCTACATTGTTTTCTAATATCTAATGTCAAATTTTGTGACGAAAAATGAATAAGCATCCGACTAAACAAATACACTTTTTAAATGTTCCCATTCGTCACGCTGAGATAAAAAATGCCTCAGTAGGCATTTGCCTGGATGAAGCGGTCCGAATGGAAACATTTAAAAAAGTATTTACTTATGAAATTAAAATTTTTTGGCAGTTGATGTAAAAGAATAAAAACTTTAGAAACTAGAGCACGATGAAATTGGGGATGTAAAAATTATACTATTCGCTGGCTATCAGGATTCCGGCTGTACCGGTGATCTGAACTAAAAAAATCAAAAGCATTTTAAAATGTAAGTCTGTGGCTATGAATTTGAATTAACGATTCTAAAAACGTTTTTTTTTTCTTTGCTGAACATGCCCTATAAATTTCGGTCAAGTCGTTTTTTAGATATAGCCGGATGAAAAAAATTGTTTCGAGAAAAACGCGTTTAAAAGCTTAAATGCCAATAAGGCCATGCACAACCTGCTGGAAAACTTTTTCTTCTTAGTGATATATCTTTTACGAATATGTGATCCACATAGTCTGAACAAAATAAATTTCGAGTTTTTGAAACCATTTCATGGGGTGACCCCGTTAAACGTGATTTTTCTTTGATTTGTATATCCTTGCTGGTGTTTTTTTTTTCTTAAAATGATGGAAAAATGTCTCAAAATAAATGAAAAATCGCCTTGGGTTTTATACCAATTACTACCTTATTTTTTTTAAATGAATAAAAAACAATGAATTCCTCAGTGAATGAGGCGAACAATGTATTACCCGTATAAGCTAAATATTTTGAAGGAAAGATCCAGTGGCTTAATTCCTTCAAGTGTACTATATGACATATCAAAGCAAATATATAGGTAGTTTTGTAAATTTTAAAATATATTAAGGCATTTACTGTGTTTAAACTCTTAACTCTATTAGATTTCGACTAAAATAAGAAAAATGTCGATTTACTGACTATTTCGATGTCACAGCTTATTTTGTGCAAGAACTTTAGGTGCCTTTTTTTTATTGTCCTTCATAAACAATTGTTTCATTTTTATCCTATTGTAAATACCTTCAAATAATTTATCTTGATTCCAATGTAATTTGGTCGCACTGGAAATTTCAGTTTTCATAAAATACGATAATGAGTAACAACTATAGAAGCGCGGGAATTAGTAGTTACTCGTTTTAAAAATGGAAAAATACAACGCAGTATTGTTGAAATGGTTAGCTATAGTCCAAGTACTGTTTGATACTTAATCCAACGCGTCGTTCGGAAAAATCGTGTACCAAATACATAAGGACCAAAATGCTTCCAACAACATTTTTAGCGAGCTTGAGGAGAGACAAGTTCTTTGAAAAATTAAAGTTAATCTCAAAACATCTCAAACCTTATAGATAAGCATAGAGGCGGAAGGTTCATGGTTTGGGCCTATACTTCGGCCGCCGGCGCGGTAAATTTGGTCTTCATCGAATGAACTATGGACAAAAACATGTAAAGCTTCTGAAGGAAAAATTGCTCCGTAGCGCCAAAAAACTAGGAAACGGCGTTTACCAGTTCAACGACCCAAAGCATAAATTGGGTTTGTGCAATCCTGGTTGTTCTGGAACTCACCTGATGAGGCCAACAGTCATTAAAACTCAATGCACATAATTGAGAATTAATAGGCAATTTTTATCAGTCGTTTTGCAAAAGCGCATTATCTAATAAAATTATCTAAAAAAAACCCGTTTGGAAGAAAGGACCAAAATTTACAAAGTTATAAGATGAGATCAAACAGAGCGCAGGCTATACTAAATATTAAGTTTTAATATACCTTGTATTTTTAATCCTCTTTAATTGTAACAAAATACAAAGTTTTCTTTTATAAAAAATATATTTTTGTCCATAGGTAGGCAACTCATATACTATTTTATGCAAAAAACTGCTGAAGCACTATATATACATTTTTTACCTAAATCATGTCCCCACAAAAAAAAATAAAATCTATATTATTTTTACGTAAAAAAACACATATTAACTTATAAGAGCGTTAAGTCGTTCGCTACAAATACAAAGCTCACGAATAAACGTTTTATTATCACTAGGTTATAAGATTAATTTTCATTTTGATCACTTACTTCAGAACTGTAACAACAAATACTTCGTTCTTAACAGATACAATATCTTCGGAACGTTTGCGAACTTTTTTTTTCCGATTTGGCAATATACTATTTTACTCTTACGTCAAATCTTAAAACTTTATGACAAAAGAAAATTGAATACTCAGTGAAACCCAGATTAAATGCACTTGCAATAAGTGAAATATTTACGAATCAAAAAAGAACACCTCTTAACGAGGTAAAAAATCGTGAGAATTTTGTGACGAAAAAATGAATAAACATTCGACTAAATAAATATACTTTTTAAATGTTTCCATTCTGACCGCTTCAGCCAGTAAGAAAGAAAGCAAACTTCGGCAAGCCGGAGTTTATATACCCTATTGCAAAAATTTAAAAAGCATTCTTTTAAACATCTATATTTTGAATTATACACTTATAGAAATGTTCACTATAAGACCCAGAAAAATCGCCATTGAATTTCGGCTACAGAATAGCAACCTTCATTTGAAGAAAATATATTTCTTAAATAAATGGTGATTTTTTTCTTAAAAATCATATACTGCGCGAAATATCCTTAAAAACATCAAATTTAAACCGGTTTGACCTTGTTGTTCCTTTGGGAGCTATAGGATATAGACGTCCGATCGGTACACGCTTTCACCCTGAACAAGGATTTTTTTATTTTTTATTAATATTTCTCTATGGAACTTAAAGACAATCTCGGCAATAAATGTTTTTTCTCGAATCTGGAAGCTTGCAGAGGGTACAAACCCTTGCAGAGGGTATTATATGTGAATGAGACATTTCCACCCTATAAAGTATATATATTCCTGATCAGCATGTGTATGAGAGTCGATCTAGCAATTACCCTCTGTCCGTCCGTTTCTACGCAAATCTCAGTTTTAAAACTATCTGCATGAAACTTTCCCTATGGTTGTCTTTCTATTGCAGGTAGTGCTTCAGTCGTAATTGTAAATTTTGCAAAAATAAAAATTTTCATTTTTTCGTTTGTAACAATTGGCCTCGTCCAAAATCTATAAATCCACATTTGCAATAAAATTGCTTAAATATATTACAGGTAGGTGACCTGAGAAAAAGGATGTAGAACAACACCATCTAGATTCGCAAACTATTCTAAAGCTCTGTAAATTGTTTTCTACTTTTGTCGCGTCACGCGTTTTTGTTAATTTCAAAGAACTTACTGGATATGTTAAAATAATTTTTTACCATTTGCTTGGATGATATAAAGCTATTCAAAAAAAAAATATATATACCAAAATCAATTTTTGTATACATTTTTTTCTAGACTAGGAACTATAATTTCAGTCAAACGTTTGTAAAGCAGTGAAGGAGACATTTTATATTCTTCAACATTACTAGGAAATTCTATCTTTCCACGTCCGTCCGTCCGCCCGTCCTTTTCTACGCAAACTAGTCTCTTAGTCTTAAAGCTATCTGCATGAAACTTGTCCAAAAAATTATTTTTCTGTTGCAGGAACTGTATAAACCGAAACAAGCCGGATCAAACTACTGAATCAAAGAACTCCATAGAAGCAATCGGAGAAACTATGAAAAAAATGATACATAACTATTTTTCAATTGATTTGATAAGTATTGATGGTTTAATGTTTCAAAAAATTCTTCTAACCAGCAGTACTCCAAAAATCGCTGTCTATGGGTGGGTATGTTCGCTCCAGTCAATCAGCAATCAGAAGAATGAATTTAATCAAAGTCATGAATTATCCTTAATGGCGTTTTCTCGAGGATATCAATGCGGATTCATATCAATTTATTTTTAGGAAAAAAATAGTTTGGTATGATTTTGATATGAAAAAATTTATAAATAAAAATTAATGAGCCAATAACTAACTGGTATTACTGTTTATTCTCAGTGTATACATAAATATATGTTTTAATAGATATTTTAAGCCTATGATAAAATTACCACACCAAGCACTGGTACCTACACCACAGAACATAAAACAGACAAAAATTAAATGACAGATCAGATAGAAATTCGAACCGTTAAGCCTTAGTTATTGTTGATTCTTGAAAGCAAAAAGAAATGATGCAGAACTAGGCAAGCCGAAGTTAATTTACCTTTGCAGTTATTGTAAAAATAAAATATTCTTTAAAATACTATATAATATAGTTTCCGATTTAAATAAAACTAAAACCGTTATGTTGAAATGTAGTATTACTATATCTCAAAGAATAAAAAAGGCAAGGTAAAATTATGAAATTTTTGTTTCCGATTGATCCTCTGGGAGCTATACGGTATAGTCGTCCGACACGGAAATAGAAAGACAACTTTTGGAAAAATGTATGCTTATTGTTTTAAAACTGATGGACTTGTTTGCGTAGGAACACGAACGGAAAGATGGACAAAGTTAGATCCTATTGATGATGATCGAGAATATATAAATTTTACAGGGTCAAAGCGTCTCCTTTACTTCAAGGATGGACATCTAGAAAAGCCCCTCACACAAAATTGCTTTCGTAAGCCTAGTACTTAGATCGACGAAACCCTTACGCCAGCTATGAGAGAGGGCGAGAGACAAATAACCGGCGTACACTTTTCGTCAGTGCCATTTTTCACCCCGGTACTCAGATCGACGAAAATAATACCAGATAATTGCAAAGCGTTGCAAGATTTCTCTGGGTGAACGTAAGCCAAGCCCCGGCGTAAAGAATATAAAATATAATTTTTGAGGTTGGAGTTGGCAGAGTATAGTATTTGTCGGATCAAAAAATGGACGGAAACTTAGGAAATTGTACTACAATAATACAATGTTGACTACAAGTATACCCGGTCCATTTTTATGAAATTGATTTCTATTGAATTGAATTGAATTGAATTGAATTGTTTTCCGTTTGTCAACAAGCTCAGCTGACTTAAAGTATGACCGTAAGACCAAAACTTCGGTCACACTAGGAAGAATAAACTTGTTACGCTGGCGTAACTGCTTGGCTATCTAGGCTTTACGAAAAAATATTAAAGCAAGCAAATATTAAAGCAAGATCATACAAATTTGATCACAGATAACTGAAAACGATTTATCGTTATCTGTTCTGATGAGTCAAAACTAAGCCCCTTTCAAACGGATGGAAGTTCAGAAGGAAAGCTCAAAAGACATAATTTAATACAAGCCGAAAAACCGGTAATATATAAAGTCTTTTGGGTATGCTTTACATGGTGGCACGTCGGTCTTCTACAAATAATATATGGTGCAAGCAAAAAGCGGACTTTTGAATAACTTGCAATATCAAATTGATATGCCTAATAATGTAGGATCAATTTCGTAATGGAAAAATACATGATTGATGACCAATTTTGTTATCTTTTTTCTCTGCGTCGTACTTTCTATTCCCACACTGAGATTTGCCATCACGTAGACAGTCATCATTATTATCTAATATATATAAAATTGTTAAGTTCATAGTATTCTATGCGGTAGAAACAGAATCTGATCTTATAAATCTATCAAAAACTACCAACAAAGTGGGAAACACTGAAAAATTCTAGGAATCGCTTTTAAACCGGAGGCGTTTTCTTATCGGCTGACTGTATAGCCAGTTGGAATGGGCTAGCTTACAGTCTGACATTGATAACTCCGAGTAACCCGGTCTCGGGTCGAGATTAATCACAAAGGGCAGCGTTAGGATTACTTGCGGCGGAATGCTGCATAAAAAAGTCAAGCCTATCGGTGGTAGCCGTGGAATAATTGGAGTCCGGCGAGAACTTACCCAATGCATCACAGGGCGCTCCTCGGTGCAGACGCCCATGTGCGTCTTTTGGAATGACACGAGGTCTATTTCCAAGGATGATGTCCGTCGGTTGTGGGATGTTTGTCGTTGTTTTGGCTGTGTGCTTTGTTCTGCGAGTGTTGCGCCTTCTTGAAAGGCTGTGGTGCTACGTTGGTTCTAGGTAATCCTGTGGGCGTGGGCTTGCCTCGTTAAAGGACAATAGACACTGATCGTGTTTGGTTCGTCGTTGGAGCCTATTTGGCCTGGTGAGAATATGTAGATATGTCACTTGTCGTTGTCTCACAGATTGGCACCGTTGGATGCCTAATCTCAATGCATAACTAACTACTTTACTGGCGCTTATATATTTCTCTTTTGATGCAGCATCAAGGTATTTTAAGGAACTTAGGAGTCACACACAAGTAAGCACGAGGCATTCACTGAAACACTTGATTCTAGACCAGGTAGAATGATTAGATCGATTAGGGTCCGTTTCTGGGCCCCGACCGCACAGACGGAGAGCCGATCACGGGACGGTGACAACGAGCGGTCAGCGGGCAGGGTTTAAAGTAAATTTATGACATTAATTTACGAGACAGCGCGAGAATGGCACACCAGATCCTAATTGAGTGGTAAAGGTCGGCTTTTGTCGGGTTCTTCCTGCGACTGTCGCCGATGCTTACTACTGATACGGCAATAGAGAGGCGGATGCGGTTTCGTCTTTACTGCAGCGTTGTGTTGTTTATGGACAAGAGATTACCGATCCCGATCGACCTTCTGTTTTTGGCCGCTTCTTCCGCTCCCCTTTTTCTCGACTGCTCCAGCCGTCGATTAGTAGCTCAGGTCGGCAGCTGTAGCCCGTTTTAGGCTCTATTCTCGCAAACCGAAAACTCAGGCAGGCTCTTACGCAAAATCCCGACCGCGACAGCTCTGCTGATGGTGTTTTTCTTCCGTGTAGAATAGAAACAGACGCACATTCGAAACTCGATAACCGTTTACAGTCCGCAACCGATCTGATCAGAGGCGCGAGGACAACCAGTCGGCGCAGCTGAGAAACTGCGAGTGTTTTGCCGCACTCCGAGCGCAGTGTCAGAAGCTGAAAAACTCAAAAACGCCCCGTACACCGTGTAGATGTGTGCGTGTTGTGCGCGCGCCGGTGTGAGTTTGGGCGAGAGTGCGGTGCTGCGCGACTGTTGCTGGACTGCTCGCGCACACGCTCGGCGTCAGCACTCCACTGGTGGCAAATGGCGGCGCTCTCAGCTGATTGCACCAATAGCTCGCACCCGCTCTAACGCACGGCAAGCGGCCGGAGAGGGCGTGGTGTTTTGTCACCGCTCTCACCCCAGCCTGCTTGCCAACCTACGCGCCCCGCCCACCCTTGCAGAGGGCTGCTGGTCGGCTGGCAAACATGAATAATGCAGCGGCAGCACTCAGGAGAACCAGAAGCAGAGCGGCAGAAGTCATCTGGATGGAGATGGACAGCGACTGGGAGCTGTATGCGGAGCCCATGACAGGAATTTCGACTCACAAAGGATGTACGCTGGTCTAAACACGCACAGACGAATCCACACTTACATTCTCAGAGGAGTCGCCGCTTGGCGCTGCTACTTCTTCAGCTCTGCTTGTTAATACTGTTGCTGTTACGTCCGCCGCCGCTTCTGGTCGCTTTCCCCAGCCCCTGCTAGAGTTCAAGAAGGCAAAAAGTTTGAGAACATCAGGTCTTATTTTTTTAGGTTTGTTGAGCACGTTTGCTTATTTTGCGTATTTAATTTTAGTCTTGGCATTAAAGTTGTGTGTATTTTTACACACTCAAGGAAATGTTTTTCTACGTTTCAAAATTTTTAAATACATAAAAAAAAAATTTAATGTTGGGTTTTATTACAGTTAGTATTAAAGTAGAGAATTAATTAAATATTTAATATCATAACCAATATACTTTGTAGTTTCATTTTTATACCGAAGAGTCTAAATTTTAAGTTAAGGACCTATTTAAGCCCCATACTTTTTATTTTGACACTTTCCTGGTATCTTGTTGAAATCATTTTCATAGTTTAAAATTGTAAAATTTAGTGTGTATGACAATTTTTTTTTGTAAGTACGCCAAAAATTTATGGATTGCACCATAAATTACAAAAATTATTTTATAAAATTTAGTGTGTATGACAATTTTTTTTTGTGAGTACGCCAAAAATTTATGGATTGCACCATAAATTACAAAAATTATTTTATAAAATAAGGCTAATTTTCTAACAATAGGGGTAATATTATTCGTTGGCGCCTATATTAAATTTAAAGACGAATCGCCATGGATTTGTTCACACAACAACAACACAAACTAACAAGACAATTATTTTCTCAATTTAACTACGAATTTGCCCTTAATTGTAGAACAAAAAGTCATCCAAAAATTTATTGAAGTAAAAAAAATCGACTGAAGGCTTATCAAATTGGTAGCCCGACTTGTATACTACCTGCAATAGAAAGAAAACTTTTGGAAAATTTTCATACAGATAGCTTTAAAACTGAGAGACTAGATTGCGTAGAAACGGACGGATATATATATATATATATATATATATCAGCATCACTAGGAGAGTCGATCTAGCCATGTCCGTCTGTCCGTCCGTTTCTACGCAAACTAGTCTCTCAAGTCGGAAAATCCGTGGTCTAGCGGTCTGAGATGTCCGGACCAGGAAGCCAACACCCAAGGTATTGAGGTTCCGAATTCACTTCGAGTTTTATGATTCTTTTGTTTTTGTTTTAGGTTGTTTTTATTTTTATTTTATTAATGCTTATATATGTAACTCCTTATCATTTACTAAAAAATAACCAAAATAGTTTGCGGCTTTTGCTTACCTACAAGTTAGAGCGTGCGTGGACGAGTGGTTAAGGCTTACATCTAGAGCGCGAAAGGTCCAGTGTTCAATTCTCAGTCGAGGCATGTGCTTTTCATAAAAATATTTCGTAAATAAAATGATTTAATTTAAAACGTTAGTTAATAATATAACAATTAATTATGAAATATTATGTTTATAAAGAATCAATTATAGCTCTACAAGAGGACAAAAAAGACCGACCCTCGTTTTCAAATTTAAATTCTATACATGTAATACAAACAACGAAATTGAAAGAAAATGTTTGTTACATTTTTGGCCGATTTATTTTGGTAGATTCCCAAAAATACTTGAAACAAGACAGGAAGCAAACTTCGGCAAGCCGAAGTTCATATACCCTTGCAGCTATTGCAAGAATTAAATATTTTTGAAAACATTAAAATTATGATTTACTTGCGTATATGTCTAAAAACATTGAAGCTGTGATGATTTGCAGCTCAATTATTATATAGTTATTTTATATATTTTTATTATTTCTATGGAAGCTTTATGATATAGTCGTCCGATTTTGATGAAATTTAAACCGTAATTCTGAAAATTTTAACCATTACTTTATGTCGAAGAACTGATAGAAAAATTTAAAAACAGCAGTTATAATTTTTTTTGTATTTGTTTTGCGATTGTTTCTATGGGAGCTATATGATATAGTCGTCCGATTTGAATGAAATTTAAGCCGTAATTCTGAAATAGTTAACTATTACTATATGTCGAAGAACTGAAAAAAAAAATTAAAAAACAGCAAAGTTATAATTCTTTTTCATTTATTTTTTCGATTGTTCCTATGGGAGCTATACGCCATAGTCGTCCGATCCGGCTCGTTCCGACTTATATACTACCTGCCATAGAAAGACAACTTCTGAAAAAAAGTTTCATGCAGATAGCTTTAAAACTGAGAGACTAGCTCGCGTAGAAACGGACGGACAGACGGACAGACAGATGGACATGGCTAGATCGATTCGCCTAGTGATGCTGATCAAGAATATATATACTTTATATGGGTCGGAGATGTCTCCTTCACTGCGTTTCAAACTTCTGACTGAAATTATAATACCCTCTGCAAGGGTATAAAAATCACTTATGCACTCAATTTGAGTTTTTTCTTTCTTGAAAATTTTTACTCAAACTGAGTAAATTGAACGCATACTGAAATTTTGTATCTTGCATTTCTTTTGAGTACGAATATTCTCAGATTGAGTGCTATATACTTGATTAAATTTCTCTGTGTGAAAAAAACAAAATTTGAAATTTTTTTTTCGAATTTATCCAATGTCCAGTACATCCCTACAAATCCTTAACTTTTCCAAAAAATTTTTTTACTAGTAATTTGCCGTTTATTGTAATAAAAACGTCGACGCTGACAAACCTCTGCTTACGTCGACGCACAAGGCGCAAAATTCCCTCGAAATCTCAAGAAAAAAAAAAGTTTTATACAGTGGCTGGTTTCAAATTATATTTTTGGGGGTTTTAAATTAATTGTTTAATTATATAGGTAGTTATTTAATATCCATATAGTCGCGATTTTGAGCCGTAATTAGCACCAAATTAGCACGAAATTGTGAAATATAAATCATCCCGATCGAAGCAATGCGGGATGGGGCTCGACTGACCTATAGAAAAGGGTTAATAATTCAGAAGTTTGCTTATAATTTCTTTCAAATTGGAAAACGATATCATATAGCTGCCAAGGCACGATCAAAAAATTTAGCTGAAAATCATCATAGCTTCAATATTTTTAAACATAAGCGCAAACAATTCCAAATTTAGATGTTTTAAAGATAACTACATTTTTGCAATAGCCAAAAAAAAAATCGAGCTTGATTTAAAAAAAAACAAGAAAGGAAGCAAACTTCGGCAAGCCGAAGTTCATATACCCTTGCAGCTATTGCAAAAATTAAATATTTTTTAAAACATTAAAATTATGATTTACTTGCGTATATGTCTAAAAGCATTGAAGCTATGATGATTTGCAGCTCAATTATTATATAGTTATTTTATATATTTTTATTATTTCTATGGGAGCTATATGATATACTCGTCCGATTTTGATGAAATTTAAACCGTAATTCAGAAATATTTAACCATTACTATATGTCGAAGAACTAAAAGAAAAATTTAAAAACAGCAAAGTTATAATTTTTTTTGTATTTGCGTTGCAAACTTCTGACTGAAATTATAATACCCTCTGCAAGGGTATAAAAATTAAAGTTAAATTAAATTAAACTCGCCATTGATTCATGAAACTCGCCGATGAATTTCAGCCAACAGCATTTACCAGCTACACTGCGAAAAAAATATATATAAAAATTAACCATTTCTTGTTCATTGAATTTTCTAAAATAAAATGCGGATTCGTCCTAAATTTAAAAAGATAATTCGACATAATTTTAAGAAAACTACGCACTTCACTATGGTCCAGATTCTGTTGTTGTTTTGGCATAAAGTCGATTTTTCTATGTTAATATATCGTTGTTTTCTTATTTTAATCTTAAAGAAAATTCATCATTCATTATAAAAATTTGTTTTAAAAACTTTAAAAGCGCCACCAAGTCTTTTTGATATTTTTTAAAATAAAGCTTGCGATCAGCTGATTTCCGAATAGAAATTTGCGACAAAATATTTAGTTGCTTCATGTTGTTTCACAAAATTTAACTAAATTATAGAAAGTAATCTTCAATGTATGCACTATTTAATGTATATTGTTATTTTATGTGTATTTCTAAGGATTTCGTATTGTGTAGTATCCAATTTATGAGTGTTTTTTAGAAAACTAGCATGCGTCCTCCGTGTTTCGTGGAATATAACTAATAAGCTGTTCATGCTGAAAGCATCTAATTGGTCCAGATTGTACTTGTGAGTGTTGTCTTTAACTACAAAGCAAAAACTCATCAGTGAGTTCAGTCACAGCGAACTTTTCGAAATATGGCGCAGCAACAATTGAAAAACTCAATATGTATCGCAGTGGATATACACCAAAATTAATAAAAACACTGTTGATAAAAAAATGATGGCACCGAGTTACCACGTAGATTTTTTTTAAATTTATAATAACCATCTAATTGACAATTTTTTTTTAAACTAATACACCATACTTGTATTTTTTGTAGCTTGTATGGGGGTGGTGGGAAGGCGTGGACAAACTGGAAAACATTTTTTTTCGAAATTCCACTTTAGTCTC